CCGCCCCTCACATCACCGGGTAAGAGGAGAGAGCAGTACGGAGGCTCCGCCTACATCCCCCATCATCTGATACACACATAGAAACAATGTATTCAGTCAGTGTGTGTGTTTCCTACAGATGGATCCAGTAAGAGGAACCCACCAGAGAGATGTCCCCGCCCCCTGTATTCCCGGGATCCCACCCAGGAAGATCTCACCATCCCCCGCCATGAGAGATGTCCCCGTCCCCTGTATTTCACACCGGAAGATTACAACTATGCACAAAATGATCAGGTTGGTGTAATGGAGCATCTAGAACATGAAAGCGACAATGTGTGGATCCTACGAGATGTGGTCTCGCATTGTGAAACCTTATATAAGCCAACCATTTTCTTGCTTTAGGGTGAAGATCTGATGAATATAAAAATTGAGGTTAAAACAGAAGAAGAGACGTATGTGACGGGTAATCAGTGCATGGAAAACGGTGAAATGATGGTGCCAGTTAAGGAGGAGGAATCTCTTAATGTCAAGATGGAGAATGAGCCGCCCCTCACTTCACCGGGTAAGAGGAGAGAGCAGTACGGAGGCTCCGCCTACATCCCCCATCATCTGATACACACATAGAAACAATGTATTCAGTCAGTGTGTGTGTTTCCTACAGATGGATCCAGTAAGAGGAACCCACCAGAGAGATGTCCCCGCCCCCTGTATTCCCGGGACTCCACCCAGGAAGATCTCACCGTCCCCCACCATGATCAGGTCGGTAGAAGTGAGAGTATGTTCTTTGGTTATTATTGCTCACATTTCAGGATGTTATTTTTAACCATTTTCTTTATTTAGCAGGAAGAACTGATAGATGTGAAAATAGAGGTTAAAGAGGAAGAAGAAGAAGAGACACATGTGAGAGAGGATCATCAGCCTACAGAGGAGGTTGTAGGGATGGTGACAGAAAAGGAATCTTCTCTAAACATCAACCAGGGTAAGTAGTCCTCATTAAATACGGTTTTCCTACTTTATTTTTACTACTGTGAGATATACTGATAAAACATGATGATGAGACCAGAAAATTGAGACAAGGAAGTACTGTGCACCATATGAAGGTCCATCTCCATTCCTCAATATAACGTCATGTGACCAACACATGAGGAGGAGATACTGTACACCATATGAAGGTCCATCTCCATTCCTCAATATAACGTCATGTGACCAACAAATGAGGAGGAGATACTGTACACCATATGAAGGTCCATCTCCATTCCCCAATATAACATCATGTGACCAACTAATGAGGAGGAGATACTGTACACCATATGAAGGTCCATCTCCGTCCCTTAGTATAACGTCATGTCCCCAACAAATGAGGAGGAGATACTGTACACCATATGATGGTCCATCTCCATCCCTCAATATAACGTCATGTGACCAACAAATGAGGAGGAGATACTGTACACCATATGGAGGTCCATCTCCATTCCTCAATATAACGTCATGTCCCCAACAAATGAGGAGGAGATACTGTACACCATATGATGGTCCATCTCCATCCCTCAATATAACGTCATGTGACCAACAAATGAGGAGGAGATACTGTACACCATATGAAGGTCCATCTCCATTCCCCAATATAACGTCATGTGACCAACAAATGAGGAGGAGATACTGTACACCATATGAAGGTCCATCTCCATTCCCCAATATAACATCATGTGACCAACTAATGAGGAGGAGATACTGTACACCATATGAAGGTCCATCTCCGTCCCTTAGTATAACGTCATGTCCCCAACAAATGAGGAGGAGATACTGTACACCATATGAAGGTCCATCTCCATTCCCCAATATAACGTCATGTGACCAACAAATGAGGAGGAGATACTGTACACCATATGAAGGTCCATCTCCATTCCCCAATATAACGTCATGTGACCAACAAATGAGGAGGAGATACTGTACACCATATGAAGGTCCATCTCCATTCCCCAATATAACGTCATGTGACCAACAAATGAGGAGGAGATACTGTACACCATATGAAGGTCCATCTCCATTCCCCAATATAACGTCATGTGACCAACAAATGAGGAGGAGATACTGTACACCATATGAAGGTCCATCTCCATTCCCCAATATAACGTCATGTGACCAACAAATGAGGAGGAGATACTGTACACCATATGAAGGTCCATCTCCATTCCCCAATATAACGTCATGTGACCAACTAATGAGGAGGAGATACTGTACACCATATGGAAGGTCTCACATTTTTTAAATTGCTTTTCTTCCAGGTACTTCTGGGACCATGAATCCCTCTGAAGGACATCTTATTTTATCTCCGTGTTATAACGGCTTCACACAATATCCTCCGGGACTCATTCTACTTACACCAATTATACAGCAAAGACCTTCCCATTTGGTGATAACAACAAAGCCATCCAAGCCCAAGGAATCGTCTTCAAGGCCAGAAGTAGCTCAAACAATAGAGAGGTCATTGACGTGTTCAGTGTGTGGGAAAATTTTTACTGAATTCAAAGACCTCTGTAGACACAAGAAGAATCACACGAGCGAGCGTCCTTTCCCGTGCACGGAGTGTGGGAAACGTTTCACCGAGAAAAGATTTGTTCTCCGACACCAAAAAAGTCACACGGGAGAGCGTCCTTTCCCGTGCTTAGAGTGCGGGAAATCTTTTAGCCTGAAAGAAAACCTTCTTAGACACCAGAGAAGTCACACGGGAGAGCGTCCTTATTCATGCTCGGAGTGCGGGAGAGGTTTTAGTTCGAAAGATAACCTTGTTAGACACCATAGAATTCACACGGGTGAGCGTCCTTTTTCATGTTTAGAGTGCGGCAGTTCTTTCACTGCCAGAGGGGACCTTCGTAATCACGAGAGAACTCACACTGGTGAGCGTCCTTATTCTTGTTCAGTGTGCGGGAAAAGCTTCATTCTGAGAGGTACACTTGTAAGACACCAGAAAACGCACATAGGTTAACTGCCGCCCTATTCATGTTCAGTATATAGGAAATGTTTTATTATAAAAGGTGTACCTCTTCAACACTACAGAAGTCACAATCGTGAGATCCTTATTCGTGTTCAGAAGGTGGAACAATGTCTTATGCAGAAAGACGAGAGAAGTCACACGGGTGAGCGTCCTAATTTGCGTTCAGTGTACGAGTAAAGCTTCCTTCTGAAAACTGCGATTGTTATACACCAGAGAATTTACACGGGTGAGCTTCCTTTTTTTATGTTCAGGGTGCGGGAAATGGTTCAGCTTCCTTTTTTATGTTTAGGGTGCGGGAAATGGTTCACATCTAATTGGACATCAGAGTCCCCACACCAGCTGAAGCTGTTGACAAATGTTCGATATAAGTAAACAGGAGTAATGGGTTTGGTCCACAGTGCGGGAAAATTATAAAACGAGTGTATAGAGGAGTACGTCCTGGCCAGAGTGACATTACTGCTGTCGGTGAAGTCTGATGACCCGTGTCGTCTGGTGGCTTCTATATCCTGGAGGCCCCATTGGTGAGATCTGCCTACTATAGTTCCTGGCTCTCGTCCTGCCAGTAGGATAGGGAGAGTGGAGCCTCTCGTAATATACCAGGGAAAGCTTGTACCCCAGGTAGCTCTTCACATTTTTGCCCAAGCAGTTACAGTCATCATGCTTCCAAACAGCTCCGACTCTCTCAGCTCACTTTCCCTAAACTTCCTGTTGACTACAAGATCACAAAGTACAGCACAGTTTCCAGGAGCTGTCCACCTACCAGCTTGGAGACATGCAGAGGGTGGAGGGAGTACAAGGGAACAGGAAGCAGGCTTGCTGTGTCTGTGTGCTTGTAGAGACACCAAAGCTTTAGGGTGGCTCTCTAGGACACTGCAAGGGAAAGGAGCCACCCTAAAACAGGATATCAGGACCAATGCTCAGGGGACCAGCTGATTCTGCAGGAAACTAAAACTTTTAAGCAGCGTCCATTTGTAAGTGATTTCACCAGCATTGAAAATTGAATAAAAACCTTTTGACTTTCATATCACTTTAAGAATCCGGCTCTTTATTGGTCCGTTCATGATCGTAAAATTGTTATTCTTTTTTTAACCGAAATTCTAAATGATTCAAAATTTGCTTTACTGATCATTAGTTATTCGGGTTTTGTAAAATAAACTAGAAGGTTCTACACTTCAATATCTGTTCATAGAGAGTCCTCCATTGGTGATAGGAATGAGCTCAGTTCATATAGAGTCCTCCATTGGTGATGGGAATGAGCTCAGTTCATAGAGAGTCCTCCCTTGGTGATGGGAATGAGCTCAGTTCATAGAGAGTCCTCCCTTGGTGATGGGAATGAGCTCAGTTCATAGAGAGTCCTCCCTTGGTGATGGGAATGAGCTCAGTTCATAGAGAGTCCTCCCTTGGTGATGGGAATGAGCTCAGTTCATAGAGAGTCCTCCCTTGGTGATGGGAATGAGCTCAGTTCATAGAGAGTCCTCCCTTGGTGATGGGAATGAGCTCAGTTCATAGAGAGTCCTCCCTTGGTGATGGGAATGAGCTCAGTTCATAGAGAGTCCTCCCTTGGTGATGGGAATGAGCTCAGTTCATAGAGAGTCCTCCCTTGGTGATGGGAATGAGCTCAGTTCATAGAGAGTCCTCCCTTGGTGATGGGAATGAGCTCAGTTCATAGAGAGTCCTCCCTTGGTGATGGGAATGAGCTCAGTTCATAGAGAGTCCTCCCTTGGTGATGGGAATGAGCTCAGTTCATAGAGAGTCCTCCCTTGGTGATGGGAATGAGCTCAGTTCATAGAGAGTCCTCCCTTGGTGATGGGAATGAGCTCAGTTCATAGAGAGTCCTCCCTTGGTGATGGGAATGAGCTCAGTTCATAGAGAGTCCTCCCTTGGTGATGGGAATGAGCTCAGTTCATAGAGAGTCCTCCATTGGTGACGGAAATGAGCTTGTTCATAGAGAGTCCTTCATTGGTGATGGGAATGAGCTCAGTTCATAGAGAGTCCTCCATTGGTGATGGGAATGAGCTCAGTTCATAGAGAGCCATCCATTGGTGATGGGAATGAGCTCAGATCATAGAGAGTCATCCATTGGTGATGGGAATGAGCTCAGTTCATAGAGAGTCCTCCATTGGTGATGGGAATGAGCTCAGTTCATAGAGAGTCATCCATTGGTGATGGGAATAAGCTCAGTTCATAGAGAGTCCTCCATTGGTGATGGGAATAAGCTCGGTTCATAGAGAGTCCTCCATTGGTGATGGGAATGAGCTCGGTTTATAGAGAGTCATCCGTTGGTGATCGGAATGAGCTCAGTTCATAGAGTCCTCCACTACTTCAGCCAGGAGGAGGGAGTGGCAGTCATAGTTCGGATGGGCTTGCATGAACTCAAATTGGATTCACAATGATCCATGGCTCTCCTCTGATCTCTATGGGAAGAATGTAGAAAAAGGAGACACATGTGGCAGCATACAGACTGTGTGACAACAGAGGGAGGAAGATCCTGAAGAACAGTCTGGGAGGAAGGAGACTGGTGAGAACACTTTCTAGAAGAAGACAGTTGAGATGCAATAGAGAGACATCCTATGGGACCCTTCTGCCAGACTGTTTGTACCAAGCCTAGAGGACAACTCGAACAAGTTGGAGCAGCTCCTTGTGTTTCTTCTGTCTGCCTGAGAGGACTGACTGTTTATAGCGGCAAAGGGCGGAGCCAACCCAATACTGAACCCTACGGACAAGACTGGGATGCCATTAGAGTTCATGTGCGTGTGTAAAGGCGTCCCAATACTTTTGGTCATATAGTGTGTGTACAGTGTCTGAATGCCAACATTGTGATCCCATGTCTGATCTTCTTCCATCAACCAATTATTCCAGCACTCGGCGTTGACCATTGTCTGTGTGTCACGCGGCTCCGAGGGTGCCGCCAACACCTACGGGTGATCTACAGATACATCTATTACACGAGGTGGTTTTCCAGTTTATGATTATCCTTCTTTATAAAACACGAATCTAAATTCCAAATCTTCATATTGTGTTTTATTTGGGTGTTTTGTAGACAATAAAACGGGAAAGAAACAGCAAAGTATTGAAACACAACGAAGGCTGCAGATTGTGTATTCTCCACAAGGAGGTGACCCTTTGCACGGAAACACACAGACAGGAAGTGATGTCACCTATAAATAAGCAGCTTCGTTACCCAGAGCCGCCATTTATAGACCGGATACATCCTAAATATAGAGCCATTTATCCAACTGTCCATCCAGAGCCACCATATATAGGTCAGATGGTACTTCCTTGATGCCTCCAAGAAAGGATTACAAGCTTTCTGATAGGTCAGAACGATGGAGGAACTCTGTGCAGACATTATTCATCCTGGTACAGTCCTCATAATTCTCAGTTTGTTCAATGTCTACAGAGAGGAGAGTTCCTTAGAGATTGCATGACAACCTAAATGAGGATGGAGGAGGACCGGAGTCGCATGGTGGAAAGGATACTAGAACTCACCCTGGAGATCATCTACCTGCTGACCGGAGAGGTGAGGAGGATTCTGGGAGGTCACATGACCTGACCGGAAAGGTGAGGGGGATTCTATCATGATGTTCTTATTGGTTCCTCCATCCAGAGTTTTCCTCCTCTGAAGTCTGGTGATCATGTGACCATCACAGTGCCTCCATGTGACTCCCTAAAACCCGAGAGACCCAACATGGAGAAGATTCTAGAAGCTACCAAGAAGATGATGGAGCTGCTGACGGGAGAGGTGAGCGGTGCCGGGAATTCTGGGACATGATCCAGGAACAGACAAGGGGCGTGTCTGGGTGGTGACGGGAGAGGTGGGCGGTGCCGGGGATTCTGGGACATGATCCAGGAACAGACAAGGGGCGTGTCTGGGTGGTGACGGTATCATTGTGTGTGTCAGGTTCCTATAAGGTGTCAGGATGTCTCTGTCTATCTCTCCATGGAGGAGTGGGAGTATCTAGAAGGACACCGGGATCTCTACAAGGACGTGGTGATGGAGAATGCCCCGCCCCTCACATCACCGGGTAAGAGGAGAGAGCAGTACGGAGGCTCCGCCTACATCCCCCATCATCTGATACACACATAGAAACAATGTATTCAGTCAGTGTGTGTGTTTCCTACAGATGGATCCAGTAAGAGGAACCCACCAGAGAGATGTCCCCGCCCCCTGTATTCCCGGGACTCCACCCAGGAACATCACACCGTCCCCCACCATGATCAGGTAGGTGGAACAATGCAGGCGTGTTCTTTTATTTAGTCTTCTGTTATCCATGCTCACATGCTCTTGTTCACGCCAGCAGACGTGTTATGACCAGCAGTGCCGATGTGTGTAATCAGGGCATCACACGCTTTATTGTTTGGACCTTATTGAATTATCACGTTGTGACATTTCATTTGGTTCTGCTCGCCGCAGTGTGTAGCAATATACTGCGTCTCAACAAGCTGCGGTGTGAACGGCCCTAATATGATTGAAGGCCAGTTGCCTTGTCTATGCACAGAGCCAAGCTGCCCAACCTCGCCCGGTGTGAACAGATCCTAAAAGACGTTCTTTCCAAACATATTCTTTAGCCTGAAGAACTGGTGGATGTGAAACCGGAGGTCGGAGAAGAGACGTTTGTGAGCGGAGATCTTCAGCCTGTGGAGAAAGCTGGGGTGATGGCCACAGCTGAGGAGAAATCTTCTCAAGGGGTCGAAACAGGTAAAGGAGCATAATTAAACTTTAACTTCTACTATTGTTTGATATATTGGTCCATCTCCATTCCTCAATATAACGTCATGTGACCAACAAATGAGGAGGAGATACTGTACACCATATGAAGGTCCATCTCCATTCCTCAATATAACGTCATGTGACCAACAAATGAGGAGGAGATACTGTACACCATATGAAGGTCCATCTCCATTCCTCAATATAACATCATGTGACCAACAAATGAGGAGGAGATACTGTACACCATATGAAGGTCCATCTCCATTCCTCAATATAACGTCATGTGACCAACAAATGATGAGGAGATACTGTACACCATATGAAGGTCCATCTCCATTCCCCAATATAACGTCATGTGACCAACAAATGAGGAGGAGATACTGTACACCATATGAAGGTCCATCTCCATTCCTCAATATAACGTCATGTGACCAACAAATGAAGCGGAGACACTGTACACCATATGGAAGGTCCATCTCCATTCCTCAATGTAATGTCATGTGACCAACAAATGAGGAGGAGACACTGTACACCATATGAAGGTCCATCTCCATTCCCCAATATAACGTCATGTGACCAACAAATGGGGAGGAGATACTGGACACCATATGAAGGTCCATCTCCATTCCTCAATATAACGTCATGTGACCAACAAATGAGGAGGAGATACTGTACACCATATGAAGGTCCATCTCCATTCCTCAATATAACGTCATGTGACCAACAAATGGGGAGGAGATACTGGACACCATATGAAGGTCCATCTCCATTCCTCAATATAACGTCATGTGACCAACAAATGAGGAGGAGATACTGTACACCATATGAAGGTCCATCTCCATTCCTCAATATAACGTCATGTGACCAACAAATGGGGAGGAGATACTGGACACCCTATGAAGGTCCATCTCCATTCCTCAAGATAACGTCATGTGACCAACAAATGAGGAGGAGATACTGTACACCATATGAAGGTCCATCTCCATTCCCCAATATAACGTCATGTGACCAACAAATGAGGAGGAGATACTGTACACCATATGAAGGTCCAGCTCCATTCCTGGTGTCCAGTGTGATTTTGTTCCCTCAATTTTCTGGATGTACCTCATATAACGACAGATCAGATTACATGATTCCTGATTGGATGTCATGAGAACATATCGTAATGTCACAATCTTTCTTTGCCATCAGATGGGCGGATTCTCCACAATCGCTCGGCGGGACTCTTCTCTCCAGGTGATAAAGCAGAAGACGAGGACATCGCCCAATCTTCTCCGGGAGAGAACCCCGGCAGTCACAATTCATGTGGCACGTTTCCTTGTTTGGATGGATCGATGGATCCCTCTGAGGAATCTGCGGAGAAGTCACAGCCAAGATCTTACAGTGGAGATAAAATGGCGGAGAGCTCCGCCACCAAAGGATTTCTTACTGTCACACACAGAGGAGATGAGATACCTCCAAGTTCTGAAAACAATAAATGTCATCAGGGGGTGGACACAGTGGAGAGTCTACTTCCTCATACGGATGCTGGGAAACCTGAAGGCAATGGATACATTATACCCCAGAGAAGTCACACTGGTGAGGACATTTTTTCCTGCCCGGAGTGTGGGAAAAGTTTCGCTCAGAAAGAACACCTTCTCTCACACCAGGAAACCCACGTAGACAAGCGTCCCTTTTCATGTTCACAATGTGAACAAAGTTTTTTGCATATAAAAAGCCTCAAGGCCCATTTCAAAGTGCACTCTGGCGAAACGTTTTCCTGTCCTGACTGCGGGAAATGTTTCACACAGAAAGGTCAACTTGTTAATCACCACAGAAGTCACACAGGAGAGCGCCCTTTCGCCTGTTTAGAGTGCGGGAAAAGTTTTGCACAGAAACATCACCTATTGGGTCACCAGAAATTTCACGCCAAAGTGTGTCGTTTCTCCTGTTCGGAGTGTGGGAAAAGCTTCATGAGGAAATCAGACTTTCTTAGACACAGGAACAGACACACAGAAGAGCGTCCGTTTTCTTGTCCTGACTGCAAGAAATGTTTCAAAGATAAATATGAACTTACTAAGCATAGTGTAATTCACAAGGGTGAACGTGCTTTCTCATGTTCAGAGTGCGGGAAAAGTTTCATTCGGAAAGGAGACCTCCTTAAACACCAGACAGTTCATATGGGCATGCGTCCTTTTTCATGTTCGGAGTGCGAGAAATCTTATTTCCGCAAACAAAACCTCCTGATACACCAGAAAATTCACACAGGTGAGCGGCCTCATTCCTGTCCTGATTGTGGGGAATGTTTCACATGGAAAAAAGACCTTATTAAACACCAGACGGTTCACACGGGTAAGCATCCTTTCTCTTGTTCAGAATGTGGAAAAAATTTCTTCCGCAAAGGTCATTTTGTTAGGCACCAGAGAATCCATACAAGTGAGCTTTCATGTTCAGAGTGCGGAAAATGTTTCTCTCAGAAAACAGCTCTTTTCGAACACCAGAGAATCCACACAGGTGAGCTTCCTTTCTTTTGCTCAGAATGTGGAAAAAGCTTCATGAGGAAAGCAGTCTTCGTTAAACACAGGAACAAACACACAGAAGAGCGTCCGTTTTCTTGTCCTGACTGCAAGAAATGTTTCAAAGATAAATACGACCTTGCTAGGCACCGTCTAATTCACAAGGGTGAACGTGCTTTCTCATGTTCGGAGTGCGGGAGAAGTTTCACTCGGAAAGCAGATCTTTTCAGACACCAGAGAATTCACACAGGTGAACGTCCTTTTTCCTGTTCAGAGTGCGGGAAATGTTACATTCAGAAAGCAGATCTCCTCAAGCATCAGAGAACTCACATGGGTTCAAGCTCATAGTGCCAGAAATGTTTTAACCATCAAGCAAATCTACTTAGACATCAGACAGTACACACAAGTCCGGATGTTGTTGACAAATGTCCATAAAAATTCTGTATGATTAATTAAATTTGCTTTATTATGCGTTAAACCCAAATTTCGTAAAATAAACCAGAAAGTCCATAGAGAGTCCTCCATTGGTGATTGGAATGAGCTCGGTTCATAGAGAGTCATCCATTGGTGATGGGAATGAGCTCAGTACATAGAGAGTCCTCCATTGGTGATTGGAATGAGCTCGGTTCATAGAGAGTCATCCATTGGTGATTGGAATGAGCTCGGTTCATAGAGAGTCATCCATTGGTGATGGGAATGAGCTCAGTTCATAGAGAGTCCTCCATTGGTGATAGGAATGAGCTCGGTACATAGAGAGTCCTCCATTGGTGATTGGAATGAGCTCGGTTCATAGAGAGTCATCCATTGGTGATGGGAATGAGCTCAGTTCATAGAGAGTTTTCCCTAACAACCAGCCATCTTACCTCAGAGGATCGCCCCCTGACCCTCACATACACGGGGCAGGTCGTCCCCCGACCCTCACATACACGGCCCCATGTTGTATATAAGAAGATACACGCCGTGATCGGTGTTATTGTTTTCTATTTACTGAAGTAAAACACAAATTGAGGGAAATTTATCAAATCTGGAGCAGACAGAATGTGGAGCAGTTGCCCACGGCAACCAATCAGCTTCTCTCTTCAGTTTGCACATGTAAGATTTAAAAATGAAAGAGAGAAGCTGATTGGTTGCCGTGCGCAGCTGCTCCAGTCTTCCTAAATATATGTGCTCTGGGCTCGGTGAAGCTCACCGAGACATGGAAGGTACTTCATGTGTTTCTCAGAGCAATCTATTGTTTCTCACCAAGGCATTGCAATTCCTGTCCTTAGCATTCAGGGCCCAGTGTACTCCCTCATTCACCACCCCCGGCCCGGGTGCGCCACTGGAGGCCTCATATCATCATGTTTAAAGCAGTTTACACAGGAATAGATGTGAGGAGATTGTGTCACTTACCTCAGGAGTTCCCGCCTTCCAGCTACTCGCTTGGGATTGGCTGATAGGGACCTATCAATCACCTCACAGCCTTTACCTAAGAAGTTCCCGCCTTGCAGCCCCTCCTCATGTATCACTTCCCCCTCCCTTTTAGATTGTAAGCCCTCAGGGGCGGGGCCCTCCTTACCATCTTGTCTGGAATTGTGATTGTAATGTCTGCCCTATATTGTAAAGCGCTGCGCAAACTGTTGGCGCTCTATAAATCCTGTATAATAATAATAATACTCGCTTAGGATTGGCTGATAGGGAGCTATCAATCACCTCACAGCCTTTACCTCAGGGGTTCCCGCCTTCCAGCAACTTGCTTGGGATTGGCTGATAGAGAGCTGTCTCTCACCTCACAGCCTTTACCTCAGGAGTTCCCGCCTTCCAGTTACTCGCGTCGGATTGGCTGATAGGGAGCTGTCACTCACCTCGCAGCCTGTACCTCAAGAGTTCCCGCCTTCCAGTTACTCGCTTGGGATTGGCTGATAGGGAGCTGTCACTCACCTCGCAGCTGTTACCTCAGGAGTTCCCGCCTTCCAGCTACTTGCTTAGGATTGGCTGATAGGGAGCTGTCACTCACCTCGCAGCTGTTACCTCAGGAGTTCCCGCCTTCCAGCTACTTGCTTAGGATTGGCTGATAGGGAGCTGTCACTCACCTCGCAGCTGTTACCTCAGGAGTTCCCGCCTTCCAGCTTCTTTCCTGGGATTGGCTGGTGGGGAGCTGTCACTCACCTCACAGCCACAACTCACAGCTGTTACCTCAGGAGTTCCCGCCTCCCAGGTCCTCTTATGGGATTGGCTGGCGGGCAGCTGTCACTCACCTCACAGCCACAACTCACAGCTGTTACCTCAGGAGTTCCCGCCTCCCAGGTCCTCTTATGGGATTGGCTGGCGGGCAGCTGTCACTCACCTCACAAGCACAACTCAGAACTCTTACCTCAGGAGTTCCTACCAGTTCCTATCCTGGGATTGGCTAGTATGAGCTGTCACTCACCTGACCTCACCTCATCCCACCTGAGAGTCCACATAGCCCACCTGAGAATCCGCACAGCCCACCTGAGAGCCCAAACAGCCCACCTGAGAGTCCACATAGCCCACCTGAGAGTCCACATAGCCCACCTGAGAGCCCACATAGCCCACCTTAGAGCCCGCATAGCCCACCTGAGAGTCCACATAGCCCACCTGAGAGTGCACCGTCCTGGTGAGAACCTGTGCAGCCACCTGAGAGCCTGCATAGCCCACCTGAGACCCTGGAGACATCAGGCTGCCTCCCCAAAACAACAAAGAGTATGTAACTTCATATTACTTTGTATTGCTGTATAATGTATTGCTGGGAGTTGTAGTCCTCTGTAGCCGGTGGTATTCTGCATTGCTATATAATGTATTGCTGGGACTTGTAGTCCTCTATAGCCGGTCTCTATACTCCCTCCCCTGGCTGCCTCTCCTCTATATTCTCCAAAAATTTTAATTGCCGCTCGCACCAATCGAGTGTTCGGGTTTCACCCTAACATTGTAGACAAAGGACATGTCCCCCACTCGCCCGACCGGCCACCCCGGCCTCACACAGACCGCCAACACCTCATATGTAAAAAATTACTGTACACATCAGACCAAAAAGAGGGACAACAGAGAGACTGGCGGGTTCGGCCCCAAATCCGGGACAATGGGGGAGATAAAGGAATGCGGCTACAAGAAAATGACCGCTGCTCTGGAGGGGGGAGGGGTTGGGGAGTCACATGATCTGTTCAGACCCTGTGGTAGCACAGCTGCAGCTGAGCGGCCATGTTGGATGCTGGCAATGCCCACACCCTGAACCCAATGAGACGCACGGCTTTTGATCACGTGACTTCGGTGGGAGGAGGGAAGAGGAGATTTGGTGACCAGTGAGAGGTGAACAGCACACAGAGGAAGCAGGAAGGGGACGGCGAGAGGAGCAATGGCTGCCGGCAGAGTGTGGAGGTGTTTGTGGTCAGTATGTCGGTTCATGTGCGTAGAGGACGCTCTATACTGGTCTATAGTGGTCTAACGACCCCGTACGTCGATGTCGTGCATCGACCTACAGGAGCGGTATCTCTCTCTCTCTCTATACACACTATATTGCCAAAAGTATTGGGACGCCCCTCCAAATCATTGGATTCAGGTGTTCCGTGACATTTCCTGGCTACTAAATATTCCGCCGCGGTCACCTGTTACTGGGATTATAACAAAGTGGAAGCAACCGGAAACAACAGCAACTCAGCCAGGAAGTGGTCGGCCACGTCGCATGACAGAGCGGGGTCAGCGCATGCTTAAGTGCGCAGAAGTCGCCAACTGTCTGCAGAGTCAATAGCTACAGACCTCCAAACTCCATGCGGCCGTCAGATTGGCGCAACAACAGAGCGTAGAGAGCTTCATGGAATGGGTTTCCGTGGCCGAGCAGCTGCATCCAAGCCGCACATCACCAAGTGCAATGCAAAGCGTGGGATGCCGTGGTGTAAATGAGCGCCGCCACTGGACTCTAGAGAAGAGGAGGCGTGTTCTCTGGAGTGACCAATCACGCTTCTCTGTCTGGCACTCCGATGGGCGTGTCCGGGTTTGGCTGTTGCCAGGGGAACGGCATTTGCCTGACTGCATTATGCCAAGTGTAAAGTTTGGGGGAGGGGGCATTATGGGGGTTGTTATTCGGGGGTGGGGCTTGGCCCCTTAGTTCCAGTGAAGGGAACTCTTAAGGCATCAGCACACCAAGACATTTTGGACAATTTCATGTTCCCGGTTTGTTCTTTGTGGGAGGAGTTTGGGGACGGCCCCTTCCTGTTCCAACATGGCTGCGCACCAGTGCACAAAGCAAGGTCCATAAAGACATGGATGGGGGAGTTTGGGGTGGAGGAACGTGACTGGCCGCACAGAGTCCTGACCTCAACCCCATAGAACACCTTTGGGATGAATTGGAGGCGGAGACTGCGAGCCCCTCCCCCAACATCAGTACCTGACCTCACAAATGGTCCAACATTCCCATAGACACACTGCTAAACCTTGTGGACGCCTTCCCAGAAGAGGCGGAGCTGTTATAGCGGCAAAGGGCGGAGCCAACCCAATACTGAACCCTACTGACTAAGACTGGGATGCCATTAGAGTTCATGTGCGTGTAAAGGCGCCCCGATACTTTTGGCAATATAGTGTATATATATATATATACACACACACATAAATATATCATGATAGTTATTACATTCAGGACCCCAACTGAGATATTACAGAGGGGGATTATTATATTCCCTATATTCATATGGTATGCATATGGTGCTGACCTATGGCGTGGCGATGTACGTGTCCAGTCACATCAATCACCCCGGAACTAGTACCCGCTACAGTCACTCAGTAGTCACCAGTCTAGAACCTGAGACTTCCGTACGGGAGCCCTCACGGGAATCCAGTGCTGCAAAAAAACATGGAGGCTGTCACAGCATTTCTAAACAAAGGCTCGTGTCCTGGCTGTCATGACCGTCCCACGCTCTCGGTATCTTCTCAGTCACAGTCTTAGTCGGGGAGGATGTCCATATGTCTCTTGGTATAGGACACCTTCATCGGGAGGTCTCCTGAGATGGTGGCAGAGCTTGGAAGGACGGGTGGGAAGTCAGTGCTCAGCTCCCGGGCTCATTATGGGAGACATGGAAGAACTTTCCAGAGGGAAGGTGGACTATAGACCTATAGATGGGTGGAAAACCAAGTGGCATCCTTTGTCCTCCATGGTGTGGTCAGGATTCTCCACCAGTCAGAGGAGAGGAGAGTTCTACCTTCGATAGTCATAACACCACAGAGGCCGAATCTTCTGGGTTTTCCGAAGACAGGCAGTTGGTCGTAATGTCCTTCAAGGATCTGCATTAGGAAGGGAGTTCCTGAGAAAGCAAGCAGCAGGAGAGAAGTCATGAGTATCGGAGAAGACATAAGTCAACGAGAGCAGATGAAAGGTTCCAGTTGGGTGTATGACCTAGCGCATATTCCAAAGGCCCCTTGTCCCCTACCACTGCACCTTGCATGGCCAATCCTAAATGTAAAGGTTGGTGCTCGAGGTGAAGCTTCCGAACGGCGTTCAGAAGCCGCCATCGAGAAATACAACGTAACACTACCACTGATGCTTTGTATTTACTCTGTTTCATTCATGTGCTCAACAAAGAGGTGACCTTAGATCTGCCTATGACATCAGTTAACACAATGTGTCTTCTCAGATGATAGTACAAAACACCAACAAGACCATAGAGCTTCTGACGGGAGAGGTGAGCTTTGGGACATGATCCAGGAACAGACGAGGGGCGTGTCTGGGTGGTGACGGTATCATTGTGTGTGTCAGGTTCCTATAAGGTGTCAGGATGTCTCTGTCTATCTCTCCATGGAGGAGTGGGAGTATCTAGAAGGACACCGGGATCTCTACAAGGACGTGGTGATGGAGAATGCCCCGCCCCTCACATCACCGGGTAAGAGGAGAGAGCAGTACGGAGGGTCCGCCTACATCCCCCATCATCTGATACACACATAGAAACAATGTATTCAGTCAGTGTGTGTGTTTCCTACAGATGGATCCAGTAAGAGGAACCCACCAGGGAGATGTCCCCGTCCTCGGAATTCCACAAAGAAAGATCTCGACATCCCCCACCATGATCAGGTAGATGATGAACGATTACCGGTAGAGGTGACTCATGCACATCATGTTGTTACAATGAATGTTACATTATATATTTAGATTGAAAACTTCTTAGACCATATTATCGTTAAAGAAGAGTACAAAGAGGAGGATGAGGAGTACGGGGTGATGGTGGAGATTTCTGAAGAACACAAGGACGTTCTGATGGACCCATCTAGCAAAGGAAACCAACCAGACAGAAGTCCCAGTCCTCAGTACTCCCCCGAGTCCACACCGGAAGATCCTAACTATGACCTGGTAGGTGGTATTGTTGGCCTACAACTCCAAAAATGATTGTAAGCTAGGAGATGACATCTTTTTGGGGTAATCTCTTTGTTCCTTGTTCTCTCATCGTCGGGGGTTTAGGATGACGAAATCCAACACATCAAAGTTGAAATCAAAGAGGAGGAAGACGAGGAGAGTGAGGACCAGCAGTCTGCGGAGGAGGGGGAGACGAATACGAGTAAACGGGAGGGATCTTCTATCTACATCGACACGAGTAAGTAATAAACGCAGAATGCAGAAAACGTTCCCAATTTTATACTTCTCCTACGAGGGGAAATTGTTATGGGTTCGAATAAGACATCTACAGCCTTGGTTCTCCACTGGTGGGTCGTGACTTAAAAGACCAAGGACAAATGTCCTGAGGTTACACAGGTTGAGAACCGCTGCTCTACAGTATTCATCAAGTTCCTCCAGAGAAGAATCCGAAACCTGCAGTTTCGGCAATATAGTGTATATATATATACACACACACATAAATATATCATGATAGTTATTACATTCAGGACCCCAACTGAGATATTACAGAGGGGGATTATTATATTCCCTATATTCATATGGTAACGACGGGGAACCCACATAAAATTTACCCCAATTTTATCTAAAAAGGATAAAAGAATTCCTTCCCGGTCATCGGATATCATTCAGTTGTCTTTATACCACAAATATTGGCCGCCATTTAGATATGTTGTATCTACAAATACATCCGGTCCTCCTTTTGAGTCACATAGAGCCCTATCCTGTGGAGGACTAAGCTTCCTTTCCACGACTCGTATGGTGAAGACTCTTTTCCATATACGGAGGTTTCCTCCAATTACACATAGTCTGTGCTGTCCTTGTTCATGATAGAAAACATGACTTCCTTTAAAATATGGCAATCCTTAATTACTAGCAGTAAGAACGTCATCAATGTATCTACCCCACCAACCAACAAGTGTGGCGGAGGCATTTTACACCATATGGTACACAGAGAGCTAGTTCTCACCAGAAGACTTACATTTCTACTGTACACCATATGAAGGTCCATCTCCATTCCCCAATATAACGTCATGTGACCTACAAATGAGGAGGAGACACTGGACACCATATGAAGGTCCATCTCCATTCCTCAATATAACGTCATGTGACCAACAAATGAGGAGGAGACACTGTACACCATATGAAGGTCCATCTCCATTCCCCAATATAACGTCATGTGACCAACAAATGAGGAGGAGATACTGTACACCATATGAAGGTCCATCTCCATTCCTCAATATTGACCAACAAATGAGGAGGAGATACTGTACACCATATGAAGGTCCATCTCCATTCCCCAATATAACGTCATGTGACCAACAAATGAGGAGGAGATACTGTACACCATATGAAGGTCCATCTCCATTCCTCAATATAACGTCATGTGACCAACAAATGAGGAGGAGATACTGTACACCATATGAAGGTCCATCTCCATTCCTCAATATAACGTCATGTGACCAACAAATGAGGAGGAGAAACTGTACACCACATGAGAGGTCCATCTATGGTCTTCAGTAGGTCTCCTTTCATGGCAGAGCTCGGTGAATGTGTTGATTGTTGGACCCACATATATGACTCTGGAATGTCAGACATGAAGAACACTTTTAACGTTTACTTGTAAATTGTTTTCATCCAGGTGGACGCTATTTATGGAACACCTCTGAGGGACGTCTTCTATCTCCAGAAGATAATGGCAATGCACAACGTTCTCCAGCAGTGAATCCAAGTACTCGTAATAGAACTCGCAGACCTTCCCCTTCAGAGAAGTCGATGGGTCCCTCTAATCCTAAGAAATCCTCAGATACTTCACACACCGTTACTTCGAATACACGGCTAGGATCTCAGAGTGTAGATAAATCAAAAGATCAAGTTAAGCCCAAGGTATCTTCTGTAGGTCGTAAAGGAGTTCCCACAGGGGCGAGTTCATTCTCGTGTTCAGTGTGTGGGAAATCTTTCGGTGAAAGAAAAGCCCTCCTTAGACATGAGAAAAATCACACAGATGAGCGTCCTTTTCCATGTTCAGAGTGCGGGAAATGTTTCAGCAAGAAAAAGGTGCTTCTTATACACCAGAGAATACACACCGGTGAGAGACCTTTCTCATGCTCAGAGTGTGGGAAATGTTTCATTGAGAAAGGCAAACTACATATACACCAGAGAACCCACACAGGTGAGCGTCCTTATTCCTGTTCAGAGTGCGGGAAATCTTTCAGTGAGAAAAGAACACTTCTTACACATCAGAGAAGTCACACGGGCGAGCGTCCATATTCATGTCTCGAGTGCGGAAAAAGTTTCATTCAGACGGCAGACCTTCGGAAACATGAGAGAATTCACACGGGGGAGCGTCCCTATACCTGTTCAGAGTGCGGGAAAACTTTCATGCACAAAGGAGACCTTGTTAAACACCAGAGAATTCACACGGGTGAGCGTCCTTTTTCATGTACAGTGTGTGGGAAAAGTTTCAATTTGAAAAATTCACTTATCAAACACCAGAGGACCCACACGGGCGAGCGCCCTTATTCATGTACAGAGTGCGGAAAAAGTTTCACTGAGATTAGCGTACTGCGTACACATCAAAGGATTCACGTGGGCGAGCGTTCCTATGCGTGTCCAGAATGCGGGAAATGTTTCATTCATAAAAGATACCTTCTTACGCATCAGAGAATGCACACAGGCGAGCGGCCTTTTTCATGTACAGAGTGTGTGAAAAAATTCTTTCAGAAAGGAGACCTTCTTAAACACCAGAGAACCCACACGGGTGAGCGTCCTTATTCGTGTTCAGAGTGCGGAAAAAGTTATACGGAGAAAGCAAAGCTTAATTTACACCAGAGAAGTCACACGGGTGAGCGCCCTTTTGCATGTTCAGAGTGCGGGAAGAATTTTACTGAGAAAAGCGTACTTCTGTCACACATGAGAACCCACACGGGTGAGCGCCCCTATACATGTTCAGAGTGTGGGAAGTGCTTTACTTATAAGAAAGCACTTGTTCAACACCAGAAAACTCACGAGAATGTTGTAGCTCCAGCAGCCAAAAACTCTCCAGGGGAAGGATAGGAACTAGTGGACACTTTCCACACAGTGGTGTAGTAAAAGAGTGGCTGAAGTGTATTTATAGTTTTTGGGGTATCATGTGATAGTTATCGGTCTGCAGGGGGTTCCATTCTAATATCTGCTCCTCTAAACACACAGTGCTGACTTTTCCCGCACTCACATAGATGGCCCCATACAACTCATACATGGACAGATTCATCGGCTTATAGAAAAGTTATGTTACACGTTGCTTGTGATTGGTGCTGCTATTGCCCCTTTTCATTGGCCGATGTAAAATCTTCAATAAACTTTATTGTGTTTTTTGTTTCAATTGTAAAAGATTCGATTTGGATTGAAGTTTAGTTGTGTAGCATGTTAACGTGTTCTTCTGTCTTTTTAAATAAACATGAAAGTTCAAAACTCTACAATATTCTGTTTCTTTACCGTATACAACCAGAATTCATTGCCGATCGGTGATCGGAATGAGCTCAGATCATAGAGAGTCCTCCATTG